CTCACTCCCAAAGCACCAAAGTCTTCTTCTGTGATCACTAAGGCCTTGTCTTCATTCCAGCCCACGCTGCTCCCAGCCTGGGCGTTACGGGTGCCAATGCAAAAGTTGCCTTCTTCCATTACAGACTTCCCTAAAGGGGATTATGCTTCTGCAACAGAATACTGTATCATTCTCAGCTACATTCTCTGATATTCTTTCTCTGAAAATAAAATGAACCACTGTGGAGAGAGATTTTGAGCAGATTTAACTAACAGATTTGAGCGAGAACAAGAGCAGATAAACAGTAGTGCTCTTAGTGAAATTACCAGTGCTGGCTCAAGATTGGGAAATGAGACTGGTCCTCTGGGAGCAACCATAACGGTGACCCTCCATTTGGGATGTGGAAGCTGGTATGAATCCATTAAAAATGTACACAGATATTGCAATTAACTTTGTGCTCTGGATTATCTTTTGAGGCAGGCTCAAAAGCAGGTTTCCTACTAAAATGACATACATTTACATTTCCAAATCTCCTTGAACAGAGTTGCAGACAATCAGCCTTCATCACTACAGAGGAAAATAAACGGTATCACCTCTCAGACCATAAAAAATAGAACAAAAGGGTGATTTTGTTGTATAATTGCTGCACAAACCTTCTCTCAATTCTTTACATCTATGGGAATTGGACTGAATGTAGCACAGTTTAGAAGGGGGTTTCATCTGATTTGCTATTACTGCAGCTTCTTGAAGAAACAGCACTTGTCACCAGTGTAAACAAGAATAGATACGATTCAGTTGCTATCCTAACACTAACTTCAGTATTTCATTCTGAAAGACAGGAGAGCTGATAACTGATTATTTTGTTTTCTCATAACAGATGTTAAATTTTGGATAAATCATATACCTTACATTAATATCTCAAAGCATGTCAAAACGAAAAAAATAATTTCACGTTTTGCAGGGCTTTCAAGGATTTTGATGTATGTATCTAGGTATTTATTAATTTCATAGAGCTACCAGTTTTGTAAGGTATTTAACTCAATCAAGTCATCTCTTTCAAGGCCATAATTACCCCTGAGAGAGGAAAATGTTCAGAAATCCATCAGTATTCAAGGCACGAGAGGAACAGTAAATCTTGTGATAGTGGGTATTATTTCCATCCCCACATTCGGCCATCTGACTGAATCCACATGGGAAGCCCCTTTCAAATGAATCCCAAGCCTGTCTCTAAACAGACAAACCACGATGGCTGCACAATTGAGTCCTGTACAATCTGCAGACTGTTTTGGGAACCAGCAATACCCTTATAGCATGGCAGCTAAAATATCCATTCAGGGCACTGGAACACGTCAAGCCCTCTCCCATTTTCAATCTCCACTGCTCCAGTTATCTATTTAATTCTTTCACAGGTTACGAAAATCATAAATCAGTACCCAGTAATTTTATTTTCAAGTTCTACAAAGTAAACAGTAAAAATCCTTCTCATAACCAGGGAGGCAGAGTAGAGTGCATAATATTCTCATGCTTTTTCTATTAAGAGCTGCAGCTTAAATCACTCCATAGTGCGGTCTGCTGCAGGACTCAGTACTTAGGAGTATTGTGTCCTACAGTTCTCATCTACTGACTGTAATTTTTGCCTTTTATGGTCTTCAAAATACTTCCCCTTTCCTAAAACACATTTTTAACGCATTGAATATAACAGGTCACTTAGCATACAACGAGTTCTTCTAATACAGATTAATAGCTGAAAAGAGTGCAGAACAAACGAAGCAGTATTAGTGCATGCCAGGAGGGATCTAACATACATCAGTGGTGTTCTCTGCCAAAGCCCCATACCAAATTCATGGCTAGGCAAAGTGCTCTTTAATATTTAACTCTCAAGTTGGAGGTGTGTTCTCTGGCTGCCCAATTTCCTCCACTTGATTTTATGTCAGGAAGTGAAATTACACTCCCACCAGCTGTTCCCCAGCCAGTGCACATGTCTCTTTCCTTTTCTTCTTCTGAAGGATTTATCTTTTGTACATCACTCACACAGGACTGGGAAACAGTCACAAAGCTTAGAGTTGGATCTGAACATCCACTGAATCTGCAAATCTGGGAGCATATTTAGTCTCAGTACTCAAGACCTAGACTTTTTTCTCTGTTTACAGAGGAGAAACAGACAGTGATAATTGAGGGAGAAGCTTCCTGACAACAGTAAAAAGCTGATAAAGGTGCATTAGTTGCCAAATATTGCACTGTGCAGAAATTTTCTTCATCACCATTCCCAAGTCAGTGTTATAGTACACAGCTTTTGCTTTTCAGATGATAAGACAACTTTTTTTTTTTTTAAATTATTGTATTTTGGACAATTTTCTTTGCATTCTCTGCTAGAATTGTCAATGTTGATTCAGTGATATACTCTTGATACTGAATAATTCCTCTTGCCAAAGGTAAATAGAAAATACCTGACCTATTCATCAATGTCCTGCAAGAAAGCTTCCTTCTACCATGGCTAAATTATTCAAGTGATTGCTCATAATAAGGCTGGGAGTATGTGATTATAAATTGAAATTTTCAAGTAAATATCAGTAAGAAGCAGGAGCCCGCACAAAAAGGGTACAGTGACCTTCCAAGCAACTTAGTAGAGGACATACATCAACAAAAAGCTCATAATCTAGAAGGTCTCCTTTCCCCACCACTCCTGCAGCGCACACACATCCCTTGCATGAGACACTGAGCAAGGCCACTGCTGCGTTTCTCTCCCTCCCCACATCCTACAACTTACAGAGGACAGAGGAAGGATTTGGCAAGCTGTGCCCAGGGCTCACTGCAAATGCTGAGGTTGCTGCTGGGACCAGGTACCAGTCACATGGCTGAGCATCTCGTTCCCCTTGGAGATTTGCTGGGTGAGGTAACACGCTGCGTGAGGTAACACTTGGCGGTCTCTGCCATTTTCCAGCACGGGCGCTAAGAGGTGGACACAGGCAGCAAAGGTGTGACCTCTCTGCCACTCCACAGTAAAAGGAATATGCTGTGCCTTTCCTGTGCAGCCATGAGTAGTGATTCCAACTGGCAATTACTTTAAATTAAACTGGAATCTCCACATTTAACTGCACTGACATGACTGTGTGCCCCACTGTGTCCATGTCAACGAGGTTCCAAGGCATATACAGTGAAGAGATTCAAAAGCTGGGCTTTAGGCTGGCAACCATTACCGCAATTCAGCCACGTTTCAGACAAAACAACTTGAGTTGCTTGTAACTTCCCAACAGTGTGGGATGCTGCAATTACACAACTGACCTCTCAAAAAGTTTTTCACCTAAAATTTCAGTATGCGAGAAATGCTTAATAGGTATCAAACTATCGAATGAAAAATATCTGAAACAATATTTACACTTTGCTGATGAGTCTGACATAACACCATGAATTGTACAAAAACCCCAGCATCTTTCAGCAATAGTAATCAAAATCCCTTTTCCATCAGTCTAAAAAATGTTGTGGCAGAACAGTCGTGTTGTCACTTGAAAGCTGCTACATGCAGTAAGAGTCAATTTTACCCAACCAAGCCAAAGTGGTGGCTTCCAGAACTCATACAGAAGATTTTTACCCAGGCTTTGCATTACAATGAACCCTCCATGATAACACAAAGAAACTCTTTTGAAACAGCATGCTGCAAGTCAGTGGCAGTCAGGAGTGGTCACACCCCTACCAACAGTACTTAACAGGCAACAAATCCAATATTAAGTATGGCCAACTAGTATCAATATGCCCATTGGGATTTCTTTCATTAAAACTGTCTGCCTGAAGTAAGACAAACTGAGATTCACTCTTGAACCACGTTGGTAGCTTCATCTCTCAGTATATTCAGCACAGGTCTGGTGCTTCAGACTGCTGAAGAAGGATTTGAAGGACCAAAACTACGAGCCTCTCTTTGGACTCTGAACACAACTTAGTTTCATTATGATGCTTGTGTATGTTGGAAATCATTAGTGAGACCCCTTCTTCCCCTCAAGACAAACTGCGATCACAGACATATTTCTGATTGGAAAAACAAACACATGTTCCAAGCTAAGGCTAGTATTTCTTCAAAGCATTAAAAGCTTGTTAGATACTCCTAATGTCACTGTGAAGTCAGTGAAGTGAGGGAGCAAATTAGATTATTATACATGCATTCACACATAAACATATGTAAGAATATACTTTAAAGAGACTTTAACATGCTGGCCTTTCAATAAACAAAGTAATTAGCTTAACATGATGGAATCTATATTTTGCTTTCTTTTAAACAGTCTCCATCAAGTGAATAATGTTTCAGGCAGCTGCTTTGTCTGCTTGATGCCTTCCCACCTCCTTTAATATTTGTTTTCACTGGTTCTAAGATTTCTTTTTTGTTCGTTTTTCTTTTTTGATCCACAATGCAGTCAGTTCTCAGCTGATAATGCAACTCTCTGAAGAGAGCAATCTTTCTTCATAAGTCTGGCTGAGGCAAAAAATAGCACTGTCAGCTTCTGACAGACTGAACTTAGCCGAGTGAAATGTTTTAATTTTTTATCATTTTAATGAACAGACTTATTTATAATGTGGATGACTTTACTGTCACTGTATGCAGACTGCAGCAGAGATTATGGAGTGCATTTTGTTTGGGAAACACGGTAAGGAATGTAAGGAATACATTTTTTTTACCAATGGGCAATTGTTTTAGACACTGCAAACAACCTCAAGATGAAATATTCTTAGCCTACTTGAAATAAAGGAATGACTTAATGGTAACATCTGTAATAGTGAAAAAAACCTGAAGAAAGGAACCTTACAATGACAAATAACAAATTTCTGAATCTGAAATTTGCAATATGCACAAGTACACCATTAAAAAAAAACATGGAAACAATGTAAAATATTACCACTAATGCAATACTAGAAATAATTGTGTAGACTAAATATCTACAGGTAATTTTAGTACTTTATAGTGGGATGGGAAGGTTAAATGTATAAAATAAAAGATCTAACAGAAAGAAGAGTATGGGTTAACAATTGCTTACCCTCTTTTCTGCTACCTCATCCTCTCCTGTAGAGTCTTTGCCATCATGTGCATCTCTCAGGGTTGGCATATGTTTTTTGTGTGCTGGCTCTCTGTTTAAAGTTGTATATCCTATGTGTTCATAAATTGGATTTATTGTCATCTTGGCAATGTATTCTGCTGCCTTGGTTTCAATATAAAGAGTAATCAATCCATCTGTCACCAGGTCATGGATGGACTCAAAACGTTTCTCCCCAACAAAGTGCTTTCCATCGTAGTAGAGTCTGAAGTTTCTGGTTTGACTTCCAAATCTGCCTCAATGAAATGGGAAAGTATTTTTTTAAAATAACAGTAAGCAAAAACAAAGAAGAGCAATCAAGCCTTTGCAAACAATAAAAAGTACTTTATCACTTAAAGCTGTGACTAAGCTAAGTCCAGTTCAGATGTGACTGAAAAACTCAACTACTGCTTAGGACAGATAGGAAGGAGAGATTAACAACTGCAGATAGATAGCCAAAACAATAACTGTCCCGGAAGAAGCTGTTTATTCTTGTATTCTCTTAGCCTCTCGATTATTCTGTGGAAAAACTGAAAATTACTCCATGTTCTTTATGGCGTTTTTTAGTACTTTACTACTGCACCGCTGTAGTCAGTTTGCCTGGCTCTAATATGAAGGGTTCTCACAATAAAGTCCTCTATTACAGCTGATCAATATGGAGTTTTGATGCAGTCTCAGACTTCTGCACCTCTGCTTTCTTGCTGGAAGAGGCCATTCAGGGCTCAGCTTGGCTTCAGTGCCAACAATTACAGTGAAGCAGAACTGCTGCCAGCAGTGGAGCAGCACAGGACGAAATGGCACAAGGGCAAACATTCTTTATTCCTGGCCAAAGGCCAAGGACTAACTCTTCAAGCTTTATACAAAACTCCTTCTGTGTTATGGTTGTTAAGTCCTGAGCTTCAAGCAGATCTCTGTAACATGCATAACACGTAAGCTATCTGATGCTAGGAATTCTGCAGTCTGGATGCAATCAGACTTTGATGCAGTCTTTAGGCAACCACAAGTAGGAACACTGATTTTACCTGAATATCAGCATTTTTCAAAATCTATACTTTGAACCTTTAACAATTTGCTGCCTGAAAGTAATCTCACCTTGTAAAACACACCCGTGTTTGCACTTGGAAACAACCAATGCATTTTGTGCAGAGAAGACAGAGGCAAGGAACTTCTTTCATAGTTCACTTAAGCGTTGTTGGTCAGACAGCAGGAAGGGTGCTGCTCGGGGCACTGGGCTTCTTTGTGAGGTCAGATAAGCCAAATGCATATTGGAAACTAAATTTGGAAGAATGAATTGCTTTCATTTCACAATCAAAAGTTTCATAAAAGATGTTAAGGAAAAACACTGGTGCTTTGCTGAAGTGATTTCTTTCCAAAGGGGCCTAAGCATATTAGACCTTGCTTCGGGTGAAATATACATGCAATCTTTCTGCAAGTATGGGCAAAATCATTTGTTCTTTGATGTGTAATTTTTCCTCTTGTTTTCTGAATCAAAATGCCAAACTTGACAGTGACTGTAATTTCAGGAGCTACTACATTTGAAGTACACTTAATTGTGAAGCAACGCATTCCTGGGGAGCTCTCAGGAACCCACATCTGGCTCACTAATAATAGAAGACATGTTGTGTAGAAACTACGTGGCATTTTACTGGAAATTAATTGGAACATATATTCACATTTTTATGCCACACAAACAAAATGTTCACCGTATCACACTGAAAAGCAAGACGTTAGAAAGCAACAGGAAAAAATGCATTTTTACCCAACAATAATTTGATCACAAACACAATTTGGAGTGAAAACAAGACATTGAGAAAGCAGAAAGACATGTCCCAGGTTAGAGCAGAAGGGGTAGGAATATGTTCAGGCTCACTCTTCAAAGCATCTTCCTTCCAGGCACATGCTAGACAACATTTTTTAGAAGACTGGGCATAAATCAATTTTAATTGGACTTTTAATTCACTAATGAATTTCTTGTTCCTCTCACACATTATTTTTATTGGTTATACCAATAGCTAGATGTGACCAGTATCATCCCAACATCTCCTCAAGCTGCCTATCTCTATTTCCATGTTTTTTACTTCCTTCCCTGCAACAGTAAGCTTTCTGAGGCATGCACTGTCTGCAAGTTGTGTATTCACACTGCACCAATCTGCAAGAGGGACCAGTCTATCCTGGATCTCCTGAGTGGCACAGCAGCACAAATACTTTACTGTATAAAGAGGCAAAACTGACTCAATTTAGAATGTGACAGGAAAGTTTTGCCCATGTGACATTTTCCTTGCATGCCCTCTGCTATCCGTAAGGTCAATGTGAGCTCAGAGTGCTCAGCACTGCACAGTGCCAAAGCAAGTGCAACCTTCACTGCCTCCTGCTCAAGTCAGCAGGAACGACGCACATGGAGCACAGACAGCGTTAGAATTTAGCAAAAACAGTAAGTTTGAAGACAAAGAATAATGGGCCTAAATGATAATATCCAATAGAATGATTTTTATTAAGAGACGCATCAGGTGAATTGCTGCTCTCATTAGTAACATATGCTCTGGCAGTACTTACAGCAGAGCTTTAAAGAAGCAGAAGGTCACTTGTGGCTCTTAGCTTTCTAGGAGAGAAAGTATTATGCTAATCTTATCGAGAAAAGATAAGGCACAGAAAATCTTCTCAGGGCTGATTACTACCCATGGTCTCTGCTTTAATAACATCCTTCAGTCTAAAACAAAGTTCTGAAGATAGCCAAATGCAGAGAACGATCACAAGTTTTTCAAAGATTTATGCTCTTCCCACTGGGGTCAGCAGGTGCATGGCTGTACCCCAGCTGTTTTACTGAACAGCCCTTATGCTGTACATCTGTTCACACTGCTGCCCATAAAGCATGAAAGATACCACAAGGAATAGGATTCCCTAAAGGGCATCATCTTTATCCCACTACTGACCCACATTTCAACACACAAGTACACAGTTTTAGTTCTTTAACAACACTCAAACTTAAACTCATCTTTTAAACCTCGCAAACAGGCTGAAACCTCTTCCCATATGGATCAAGAGAGTAGAACATCCATCCCTTTCTGTATGCATGGCCTCCTAAAGGTGCACTCAACCTCCTCAGTTCAAAATACCTTGAGATAATTTAACAATTAGCTCTTAAGGAAAGGTATTTAGACAAACAAGTTACTCTGTGTCAATGCCATAATTGCTTGGAAAAGGTGTTTCAGGGGGTGAAAATTGAATGGTTTGCCTTTATCTGCTTTTCTATTTGTTCCGCATCGAACTGTTTTCTCTCTGTTCATTTCTTATTGGAAACACTGTGGGGAAATGTATTGTTTTTTAAATTGAATAGCATTAACAACAAGGAAGAAAAAATCCACACAAATCAATGCACCAAGAATCTTTTACAAAGACTGTACCATCAATACAATGTCTGATAACTCTACAATTTACCTTTCTCAAACTCATTTAAATTTCTCAACACACAACGATACTATTTTGATGAAATTACAATATAAACGCAAATGTACAAACCCATTTGGAAATGATCAATCCAAATTTAATCTTCAGTCTTATTTAATGTTATGGTTTAATTTTTTTCATTAGCAAGAATATTTCCTTATGTTTACCTTCTATAACATTATTGCAGCCTACTTTATACATCACCGTGGAAACTAAGTAGAGCCAGGATTTGATATTTCAACTTCCTGATGGTCTTTTCCTAAGGGCAAGCATTAGTACCAGCTGTTTTTTGTTTTAGAAATAGAAAACAGGACACAAATAATGTACGTTCTTTTGGATTAAACAAGGGAACATTAGATGTTTTTCCAAGAAAAAGAAATAGACCTCTTACACGTCAAACAGTCCCATTGTATCTATTGTGCATTTGTTTGCAAGCAGCAGGACTACAGATAAAAGACTTTTCTTATTCCAAGTTGTCTGAAAAGCAATCACTCTGTCTAGTCCCCTTGGTTTCCAGTGGAGCAGAGTGGATACAACGTGGGAAAATGGATTAAACGGTAGAGTAAATGTGGCTAGTAATAAAGGACTGAAGAGCTGAATTAGGTATCATAGCATGAGAAAGGCGGGCTTCAGACTCCACCAACCACTCTGTAAGCAGCATTCATTGATCAAACAAAAGGAAGAAGTGAAGGACTGAGAGCCCATCTGTGCTCTCTTACCATTTAAGATGATGGATTTTACAGTCCAAACACAGAACAGTACAGTAGCTATTCACTTCTTTCACAGGCTATTTTATGATGACAAGAGTATCTAACCCCTACCTAAAGACAAAAGTGCTGTTTAAACACTTAGCTGCCACCATACCATAACCTTAGCATCCCACAGTGATTCCAATATCCTCATTAGTTGTGACATTGTCATCTTCATATTTGGAGCTGGGAAATCTTAAGTTCTGTGCATGTGACAGAAGGTCACTTGAACTTATTCTTCCTTGGAGAAAAGTGCCTTTAATGCACTTTGTGGCCAGAAGGTAGAAGTCTTGCAAAAAATTACATGTGATAATTTCAGCTCTAACTTCTGAGAACTCTCATTCAATACTTAAGAGCCTTGATAACTCCAAAAAAAGCTACAGAAATGTAAGCAATGTTGAATGTCTCCTGATCATGCTGCGTTCATGCGAAGGAAAACAAATTATTCCACAGATCCTTTTTTGGCCAATTCCCTGGTCAGAAAAACACAGATCTTGCATGCTGCCAAAACTTACACAGTTAATCCAGAAGGTCTCTTACTCCTGAGAGTCATAAAAACTTTTGTTTTTATTTATGTTTTATTATTTATTGGCAATATTTCTGAGGATGGCCAGGGAATTGTGGAATGTGCCTTCTTCCCAGGGTATCAGAGGAGGAACATTATCAGCTCCAAAACCCAAAAAACAGCAGTAATTCTCAAAAACATAAATGCATAAAAGAAATCAAATGCATTAGGAGTTGAAAGTAAAGGTGCTTTTAATAAAAGAGGAGACAAAAAATCCCTACTGTCCAATGAGTCTAGGAAAAGTGGCAGAATACAGACTTCTGAGACAATTTTCCTGTGCCATCTGGAAGGGCAGTACTTGCTGGCTGACTACTATAGCTTGATTATCATTCATTAGTTGTAAAGTTATCCCTGAAATCTCATCAGACCCATGGGTTGGATGAACATATGAAAATTTAGATTAACATGGAAAAAAATGTGGCATACGTCAGAAGAGAAAACAAATCCCAGAGCTGGAAACGAAACGTGGCTACTCTATGCCAATGCAGACAAAACCTTCAACTCACTTAGGATCAGATAAAATAATTCTAAGCTAGTGCTGTGTCCTTGATGACAGCCTTTCAACAGTCCCTATCAAATGAGGCTGAAGATTATTTCACTGTTTTGTTCCCTAGACTTCCTTGCCCAAAAAGGAAACAGCAGTGTGCAAGTAGCATGGCAAGGAGGACCAGAGCAATGACAATGTTCTTTGGATCGTGAGCTGCGCCACAGACAGCACAAGTGAGAGACAACTGCTCTAGGGTATCAGCAGGAGATAACAGCTGATGAAAACAGTGAACTATGAAACTGCTATCAGCCCCAGGTACTGTAATAATGTGTTTTATAAATAAATCCAAGGAAATTAAGGGGAAAATTTTTCTTTTATCTCAACATCTTATTTTTAATAGCTTTAACAGCTGATTCCCACCATCTCAAATCCTGATCAAAGACCAGCTGATCTATTGATAACCATGTATGCTATTAATGTGCAGTAAGATCACTTAACACGTAGAACCACTCTCAATGTTCCTGATCAGTGATAGATTGCTTGAAAATAACTTTGAGTTCTGACGTGAAACTGCCATACAGAAGTATTACCTCTTCTTAGTACTGCAGTTGCATGCCCTATTCTGTTTAAACTTGATAGGACATCTCTGGGATTGCTCTGATGATTCAATCAGAATCAATACCAATGTTTGGATAATATTTTACAGCTTTCTCTATCTGGTAAGACCTCGGTGCTTATTGGGAAAAGAATCACCATGGTTAGTGGTTAAGACACATTTGAAATCTATATACACATGGGAAAGGAGCAAAGGCCTGCTGTTTTCCCTTCAAATGAAAGCAGTACTTTAAAAACCTATGCTGATATGCCTGGAAAAAACACCTTTTGGAATTGTTACTAGCAGGAACGTTAGTAATTTCCACAGTTTCACATTAAGCAGATACAGTTATCTTCTTTTACAGAACAGAAACAACAACAACCACCCCCCCCCCACCTCCCTCTGAGTGTTAACGTTACAGTGCAACTCCATGGTTCCTGTACTCCTTTAAAGCAGAACCGTGTTTTAATTTTTCTAAGCTTAAGTACCAGCTCTTCCCAGCGTCTGCTCTGCAAATTTCTAAACGTGTACAAATTTTACTTGGCCTGTGCATAACATTCTCATTTAGGTCATATCAGATGGTCTTTGTCTGACAAATTTAGAAGTAGAACATCAGGTCTGTAATGGAAATTCCACTGTAATCATTAAAACAGTGAACTGCCATAGCATAATGTTCAAACATGTTCATTTTTGTGTCATTTATGGACTTTCTTCCTGAGAAGCTCATAACCACGTCAATTCAAATGCTTCTACAGATATTCTCATCCTAATAGTAAATTGCTCTTAACTGATCTAAGACAACATGCGTATTTGAATTCACTGCATCACAAAAACACGAGAGGAAGACAAGGTGAAAACAAAAGGAATGTCCTTTATCATTAAATAGCTTTGCAAGTGCAATTAACTTCTTGATTCTTATGCCATTCTGTCCCCCTCCGCTATCTGCTAGCATGGCTGACTATGGAGAGGGGAGTGGAGAAACACTGTTCTGTTGTTTCTGTATTGTTTGTTTTCTTTACATATACCTTACAGGATATTATCAAACATCTCAAAGTTTATGTTCAAAACAAAATAGGATTATTTTTAAAAGTTTTCTTTAGATTAAAAATAACCGCAGTAAGATTTCTGTTCCAGAGATTTGGTCAAATCTTATTTGCCTAAAACTACTGTTAATCCCAACCTTCCAAGTAGGTTTACTCAACATAATGAAAGCTATTACATTATTTGCTGCTTACTTAAAAGCTGCTTTCTCAATGTACTGCATGGAAAATGAAGTGCAAGTCTAAAGTAGCATTTTTCTCCATCTACAGATTTGAGTGCTCACTATCCCTGTACTCACATGAAGAAAGAGGGTGGTTACATGAACTGCAGTGACAATGGGCCACCAATATCACAGAGCAGGACTCCCATGTGCAATATGTGCTGTTGGACATGCCCAGCCTGCAGTGTGTGTGTACAACTGGCACACCAGTGTGCTACAGAGATTTGGGCACAGCCAGAGACCTGTTTTGTGATTTGTCAGGTCACAAGAGCACACAGAGGGAACTGATGGCATGCTGTGATTTGTGACATGACATCTGCATGTAGAACACCTTGTACTAAGAAATATTTTCAGATAAAGTTTAATTTTAATGCATTACACTAAAATCCATAAACTACACAGGGGAACATATTCAGTGTGTTCTTATTTTCAAAACAGTGTTGTGTTGCTAATGACAAAAATAACTGCTCGATGTGGACAACTCCCTGTAATGTCTCATGGCCATGACTACATAAATAAATGATAGAAGAATAGTTTAATTACTATATTACTACATTTTGCCATCTCTAAGCGTTTAATTGCCTTACGTTGATGCCCAATCTGTCATTAAAGTCTTTTGTGAATTAACAGAGGGAGAAATTAGGTGACAAAAAACTTCGTAAAATAATATGCGCAGTAATCTTTTTATTTTAATGGGACAGAGTAACTTATTTCTAGAATACAATTTCCTCCTTGGCACAAGTGCAGCAGCAGGTAGGCCAGGTTTCCATTTATTCCTGAACAAAAGCTACAATAAAAATTAGCTTGATTCTCTTCCTAGCATCTATGAAATCAGGCCAAACCATACTAAACTCAGCAAAGTTACATCAAAGTATGTGAGAGGGAGAAGGAAAAGTGGGCCAGATAACAGTTATTCCTGTCGGTTCTTTCAGTGTTTGAATAATTCATAAATGTTTTGATAAAAACAATTATGAGATTAAACAGCAATGTGAGGCTATTGTGTGTTACTTTGAAAACATATTTAATAAAGCACCCACAGTATCTACAGCTGAAGGACTTTTTATGCTTATTGATGAGGCACAGGAAAAGAAATTTTTCTCTAAACACAAAGATTTCTAAGTATGTATTGCAACAGCACACAGAAGAAGAGGCCAACCAAAGGACCAACTTGAAGATAGTTTTCTAACTGTCACTTTCTAAGGGCATTAGAGCAAGAAGGCACTCCAGCAGAGTCTGTCAATGACTGAAAGGCATGCATCTCTGAAAGGGAAGGAAAAGGGAGGAAGAACAGAGCAATGTATGCTACATATATTCACCTGATTATGCTATACTTGGATTTTTTATTGCTTCAACTCTGATAGACCTCAGAAGCTTCAGGCCAGGCAGACATTAAGAACAGCACAATAGGTTCTTGCTCGAGAGTTCTAACAGAGGTGTCCTGAGAGCTGGGGCACAACTTTCCAATTCTTTGTCTAAGCCATTTTTAAGAGATGTGAGGCTGATGTACTGAACAGGTACGTGAGACAATGTAGGAAGGAAGGTACTGCCTCTAATGAAGAAGCGAGGCATGGAGAACATGAAAACCTTGAGCTGAGTCACAGGCAAAACCAAGAAACAAACTCAGATCTTCTGAGCTCCATGGGAGTGCTTCACCACCAGCTCAGTGCCCTCACTGTGCAGCACAATACCAGAGATCTTTGTGGCTCAGCAGAAGCTATAGTCGGAGGTGAAGAGCATAGTATAAAACACATGAACTACATGCACTGAACACAGACAGCTTTTGGACAAGTAACAAAGTTTACACTATTACCAAAGTGGAGAATATTCCTCCCAGAACTTCCATGAGCAGGAGAAAGTCTGCAGTGAACCAAATTGCCAAAGATAAATTAGACACGAGTCAAAAGAAAACGGAGCTGACAACAACAACAGATGGGAAGAGGAGGAATGGAGAACAGGAACACAGCAAGAAGACGTGAACCATAAGGAAAAAAGCATTCTAGCCTGTGGGAGGGCCTAGGTAGCCAGTTAATTACTCATTAAGGTTAGTAGCTATTTATTATTATTCTAAATACTTCACTGAAGGCATTTTACTAGTGCCCAGCTGCACTTTACGTAAGACAGACAACGTGCAGGACAGCTATGTTATTTACTGGGAGCTGAACATCCCACTTTATTGACGGAGTAATAGAGTATATTATTCAGTACAGAATTTTATATAGAAAAATAAACTTATTTTACAGGGAAGATCATTTAAATAGAGGTCCAATTGTTTTATTTCAGAGCATAAAAGTGAAATCTGAAATTTATCAGCACGCTGCTTTCCCTGGGGCTAGCTCTAGCTCTTGCTATGTATGCAGCCAACAGGATGGCAGCTTTAGTTTCAGTAGAATTTAAGCCTTCATAAAAGAAATATTTGGCTGTTCACAAGGAAGAAAAGAACAGCCCAGCATATCAGCTGGCATACCTGTTATGGTAGTCTATTAAAATAGCTTTAAGCATGAACTGTTTCTTTCATCTTAAAAGAAGCTTCAGATACCTCAGTGGCCAATTTCTGAAACACTCACATGAATTCTGCACCTATGGAAGTGTGACAGGCTAAGCCTAAGGGAAAAGTAAGCCTTTTTCCCTGAGAGCTTCAGCTCACCACCACGGAAGGAGCACTCTCTTGCCACTTCATGCAGAATAAAGAAAACTGATCAAAATGGGCCAGGCTGAAACGTGCATACTCCACAGGTAAGTTCAGTCGTGTTTTGGAGCAATTCTATTTAACCCAACTGAACTTCAGGCTGCATGCTTGCGTGTGTGTGTACACAGACACACAGGTTATATAGTTACCCAGGTATCTCAGATGAGAATTAAGGAACATAGTGTAAAAAAATTCCAAAATTTCTAAAAAATTTCTAAAAAATGAATTCAGCTCTTACTATTGCCATCACTGTCTGGTGTAGAGCTGCACACTGGTTAAAAATACATTGAAAGATGTGCAAAGTTTAGTCTTGAAAAATGTCTTTATGATTTTTTTTTTCCCTACCAACTAACATGATGTCAGAACACTGTCACTGAGGTAAAGTGAAAGGATGCAATCAGTTCTGTGCTGTTTCCTCTCTCAGACTGCTTATAGATCAGCTTTGGATTCAGGATAAGTATGACTAAATTTTGCTAAATTTACGATGAAAAAATGTAATTCAGCTATTATTACACAGAAAGTTGTTTCAAAATTCTCCTTCCCTAGTTCCACACCTCTGTCCCAGCCTCTAAAAGCTGGCTTTCTAGCAGAATGCAGACACACAGTTCTGACCTTTGTGTTCAGAAAATCTTTTGCAAATGTTCAGTTTTAGATGTATTAAGGAATCCCAGGGCTATTAACACATCTTCTGGAAGAGCACAGTGTGTACATCCCAAAAGAGCCCACTGAAAATGAGCACCATTCAGCTATTAAAGTAATTGTCTGCTGAAATTAAAAAGATTCATTTGCACCATTATAATCCAATAGCCTGCCAGTTACGTTGCCTTTTAAAATATCAGTGGCTAGTTTCTTAATGCAATTTCATAGTCTAGGAGAGAGGATACATGGATCAATTTCTCGCACAATACATGCAGTTGGTTGACTAAGCTAAGCTTTACTTATTTTTGACATTTATTTTGCCTTCAGAATTCTCTTCTGATGCCACATAATCTTGAGCGTGCCCTGGCCCCCAAACACAAAGAAAACATGGCTCATAATCACGGTTAACATTATTACCTTTTTTAAAAATCCTGCTGCAGAACCTTATTTCAATTCATTCTCAGTATGGCAACAATAGAATTTGCAGGAGGGGAAACCATGGTAACCAACTAAATGTGCTACAGCAGATATCTGCTCAAAAGAACATGCAGTACCATCACACTTCAACGCCTACCGCTAGTACAATCTCTACCCATTTCCCCTTTATCCTCACCCTAATTATTAAACAAGCTCCCAACCACAAAAGACTACATTGCAAATCATGTCTTATTGTTACTGTCATTTGCTATAGGTCCTAGCATTAAGCACTGCATTACTGTTTTGCCAGTTTTAAAAGCAGATCTAATACCTCCAGGAGTTAATTAGGAATTCTCATTTCCTTTCATCCGTTTGGAACATCTAATTAATATCAAAACATATTTTATATTTGTATAGTCATAGAGACACCCCGATACGTATGGACACACAAACATACCTACAATAATCTACTTACATTAGTAGCTCTTTTAAAACCTCAGGGATGCAAAAAAATTTCAGTGGCATTCTCTGACTAATTAACTAGTAAACACTGGTGGTTTCTGCTGGGCTTTTTAAAAAAATAAACTGTGAAAAAACGTATTCATGATTAATTACAGGCATTAAAGATAGCAGGGTGCTGACTTGATGCTCTCACGTGTGTTTATGTTCCATTCTATTTCATCCGGTGTCTGAACTGATACAATTTCACAGGCCTTCTCAGCCGCTGAACATCAATTTTATTTGAAAGATGGCTTTGGATATTTAACCAAACTCACACGCTTAGAAAATGATAATTTAAATGTGGGTTTTTTGTTTTTCTTTTTTCCTTAACAACATACTCCTATTCTGATATAAATCCTGAAAAAAATTGTTTTCAGAAAACAAAAGCTCTTTTGTTTCAAATTTAAACGTAAAAGACACTCGATAAAGTCATGAAGCAAACTAATTGCACAACAATGGATGAATGTAGACAAAAATAGCCCATCAGAAGGTGATCAAAATGCAGCTTCTTATGTAAGCGACAAGCAGATTCTAGAGTAACTCACAGACAACATAATTAACTGAGAAGTTCTTGGGGGTGACAATCACTTGTTCTACCTTATTAAAGAAGAAATATTCCGAACTTTGATTTTGACCTCAGTTAACTGTTCCACAACATCACACTAAGAATATCTGACTGATGTGGCTATGCTTGTAAAAGCAATTAGTTGCCCTGTCCTATATGTGAACGTTTCATCTGTGCTAGGCTATGTCTATAGCTCTCGCAGCTCAACAGCTGCAAGGCCTTTAGATTTACTGGAGCTAGTTCTATAAAAGCATTAGAGCCTAATGCTCTACAGTAAAAAAAATCATTTGGAAAGAAATGAAGAAAACAAGGAGAACAAAGAAAGAAAACTTCATGGCCCACTTCATTCTGAACAGGATGTGCAGTTCTGGCCTCCTCGCCTCCAAAAATCACCACAGAGGAAAAGAAAGGCACACAGAAAGATGATTGAGATGATGAGAGGTATGAAACAGCTTCCCTACAAAACCTGCATGTATAGCCTCAGGCTCACTGACCTGTCAAATGAAGAATAATGGGGATGTGACCGGCATAGAAAAAGTAAATGGAGAGCATCAAATGTAATTCTGAGACGAAATCTTCAACTTGCTGATATAATAATAAAGCTATACAACTGAGGGTGGGGGGATAAACCCTTTGCAAACAATTAACCAGACCTCTTCTCAGATCTGCACCTTTTATGATGACAAGGTATCCCCTACAATAAGCCAAAAAAAAAAAGAAAAAAAAGAAAAAAAAGAAAAAAAGAAAAAAAAGAAAAAAAAGAGAAATGCGGATCTGTGTTAGGAACGGGAGAACACCAACAAGAATCTTCACGCATCAACTGCATGTGGATTCGGTGCACTTTAGCTTAGCTGAAGCTACAACTTCATGTGATTGTCCAATCTGTTCCAGATTTCAAAAAAACATTTTTCTTTTTTCTATCCGTGAATTCTGATTGCCTATAAAGGAGTTATGATATGGTGTTAATAGTTTATTCACTATCTTCTAGGAAGATTAAGCTGTTTAACAAGTGGAAATCTTCAACAGAGCAGCCAGTGACTATCCCTGGAAGGTGCCCACTCTAACTACAGTCTAGAAGAGAACGAGCATGAGGATACAGAGAAAACAAGAGAGAGTGGGTGTTTTTCCCATAAGATATAGCACTCTGTGAGGTGATCTTCTGTAGTAATCACAGTAGAAAGATGAGTTAGGATTCATTAATGTCTATCAGATTTGCAGCACCGAGAATGATGCATTCAAATTTACGTTTGGGTACCGATAATAAGGAGTTTTATCCCTATCTCTTGATCTAGTTCGCTTTGTAGTCAAGACTTTGTTTTTTCTTTCAATTTAACTGTGTTAGAAACTTCAACAATACAGCACAGACCAGATGTTGAAGTAGAATAAATAGCATTGAATAGTTTAAAAAAGTAATGTAAATATCAAATAACAGGATATTTTCCTTTCGAATTCTGCAAGAACATGTAACACCTTCATTTCATTTATTAACACTAAACTGAAATATTAGAATGAATTTGAAAATGTTTTACAGTTGAAACTAAGTTGTTAGTTACTGCAGGTTTGGAGCACTCTTCTGGCACTGCTGGGTAAACTTATTAAAATAAAGTGAAACCTATTCTATGGATGTTTCTTTTCGCTTTTTCTAACAGCTGACCAAGTTTTCTTCACTCCCACATCTTCTCAAGGGTAAAAAAAAAAAAAATAAAAATGGCAGACAGCAAAAAGAAAGTAATAATTACATAGAAGTGATCTTAAAATTAAGATGACTCCAGGAATGACAGAGTGGCATTTAAGCTCTGTCTGAAAAAATCACATTGATTTACACAGCTAGAAAAGAGAAAGATGAAGCTGGAGACCCTAAAGTCAATCAAAGTCTTCTCTCAAACTTTGAAAGGTTTTGCCCATTCATGCTACCCTACTGACAAATTTCCTTTTTGGCCACGGAAATTACATTCCCAAATTGTTACTGCAGTTAACTAAGCTGCAGCTCTCTCTTCTTTCTGGCAGTATAGCGACACATGCACAAATGATGGTGTCTGTCTGGAATCTTATTACACAAACAGTTACCTCAGTACAACACTTTTTTCTGAGAAAGAAAACTAACTCCTGATAATCTATTATTTCAGGATATTCTTATTTGAATCATAATCTTATTTTACCCATATAAAGATTTCAGTAACTATCTTCTCTTTCAATGCTTTTTAACAGAAAAACTTTGAGTTAAAACTGTGCTACTAACACTGTTTCCCATTTGGCTATTTATGTATACAACTCAGAGCAGAATAAACACAATTACTTTAAAAGTAATTAAACTATATAGATTCACAACTATTCAAATTATTTTTTGTTTCACTGAGAGTATTATCTGATCTACTTACTGGGATTTTGCAGAGCAAGGAAACAGATCTGCAAACACTGTCAGTTAAGAGAGGCTCAGACAAAAAGACATCTGATTTATAGGCTGTCCCACACAGGGGCTAGAGAGAACTAACTGCTCTTCAGCAACAGCTAGCTAGCTAGCAAGTAACCCACAGATTAGAACACTCATGAGACCTCATGAGATGCCTTCTGTTTCTTGACTGCTCTCTTAGTGACTAAATGGGGTCACGCATCTGGAAGGCTAGGGGAGAACAGCAAAATGAAGGAAAATCAGCAGAAACACAACTGCTGCAACCTTGGAGGTGCAAACAGAAAAGGACCCTTAGCACTTCAGAAGCAGCTAAGGGACTTCAGAAGGCTAAAGATACCAAATCTGTAATTAGGGTAAAAAAGCGCGAGTTCCTTAAATGCTTACTGTGATTTTTAAAAAATTAAAAGAATCACAAGGAAGTTTAAGCATTAAGGCCAACAACACAGTACAATCTTTTGAATATTTTATACGTTTTAAAATGAAATATTAATTACCAACCTTAATGCCAAAGTGTAGGTTCCAGGTTGCCTTTGGCTTTCACGAATGAGATAGCTTCCCTCTGCAACACTTAATAACTGGTCAGCTTCTTCCCTTGAGATCATGCCATGAAATCTAAGGAACAAAAGCATTTTGAAACACATGCTGTTTCACTTTTAAATCACCTCCTCCTTGAAAAACACCAGCTATGGTATTTGAAAAACAGAATAACATAAAAATGATTGCTTTGCAGAAACCTACATCTTAAATTAATCTTTCTGGTTGTATTTCAAATTGCTTTAAATGGTTCAGGAAGGCTTCTCTTTATCTGTTAAACAAGCATACTACTTTTATAATTGACAGTCATCAATTTAATATGTAGAAAAGAGTCCATTTTCTCCTCTTGGCTTCAGATGCTTTGTGCCAGAGGCATGTGATCCAATATTTTACAACATTTAGGAATACTGCAGCAACTCACTATAATCCTGGGGATGGCATAATCTTACTAACTACTGGTTTAAATACCGAGCTAGGCATCTCTTACCAAAATATACATAAATCAGATCTGTTTTTCTGCCCCCACACTAGATCTAACCATCTCTACCTTACCAGTCTGAAAACAAATACACATATAAGATATCCATCAGTGTTACATTCCTGTTCCAAATCTTCTTTTTCCTGCATGAAAACATCTTTCACAAAAGCCAGTTGGAGAGTGGAGTAAAAAAGAGACAACTCCCTGAAAGTGCAGAAATATATGGCTTTCTCAAGTAAGTTATCACTCAATAACATCTACAGCCATCAGAAATAGCAGCTGTAATTTTTGGTAAACAAAAATGGTAGCACTGCAATAATAACACGATGGTGAGCAAGACGTGCTGCAAGGAAATAGAACAAAAGCTCTCGCTGCAAAAGCAAAATGAGCAGCCTGGCAGAAGTAACAAGGCTGAGGTGCAATTGTAGTGGCTGATGATGATAGGGCCACCAAAATGCAACTTTTGACCATGCCAAGGTCTTGCATAGTGACAGCTGGGCAGATGCAGGAGCAAAGCACTGCAAAGTCACCCACCGCGAGGGAAAGCTGCCTTTGAAGGGTGCAATGGCATGCCCAATCCTCTGTGCTTCTATGCAAACCATGCTGAAAAGCAGTGTTTCCACTGCAAACACTTTCAGGCTTTCCTGTAAATGTTATCAGCCAACACATCATGGGGATAAAGCATGTTCAGATGCATGTTACTTACTCTCTTCCATAATATTTGGGACGGTTCTCTACCTAGAAAAAAAAAAAACAGATGGAAACTGTAATGTTTCACATTTACAAGTGTATCAACATAATGTCCTTAATAGAATATTATTAATAGGTAGGGACATAACGGTAAGTATGTATCAAAATCATTGGCCATTCCAAGGTTTTCTCTGGGAGTGGAGTACAGGAAGTCAAAGGTGGAACTTGAGGAGAACACTGCACTTCTGAAAGGCTTAACATGGGGTGAGAAGGAACAAGCTGCTTGGGTCATGTCCATGGGTCTCTGCTAACACAAACTGATGGCATTAAGTGTTGCTCATCCAAATTGTCAATAAAAGAAACAAAATATTAATTTTGCAGAAATGTACTGTATTAAGGGCACTAGTGTAATGAAACATCTGCAAAACTCTAAAATGTAAGTAGTATCTTCTATCACACAGCTGTTGCTGTCACTGGCAAAGGAAACGAAGCTTCTGTCATGCTCAGGGAGGGCAAGTGGCAGATTAAAGGCTCATTAGCAAGTGGCTAATTCGCATACTACTCCACTGAACTGTGATCTACAGCACCACCTAAGAGAACTCAGCATCACACAAAAATGTCCTACTGTATAACACAAGGCAGCCCATTCTACAGAGACCCTACAGTGTGAACAGACGCACCAGGCAAAGGGTGGCAGGAGTCAACTTTCCTGCCAAGTATTTTGGATGAAGCAACTCAATTGCAATCGTTTGGGAAGTTTTTGACAAGAGAGGGACTGAAGACCTCCTTCAAGTAAATTCAATAATCTAACCCACCAGGTTATCCTTCTTTGCCAAATTTAGAGGAGGGAAATCTTTGGAAAATAAAATTCAACGCTTAGTTATACAACTTGAACTACAAGAGTCTAAAACGATCCAGCTGCAATAAAATAAAAAGTACTCGCAGTAAACTGCCACTCTAGTTTCCTTTTCCCATCTTTCAGAGAACTGCCTATTAAAATTAGCACTCCTTTCCGGAGTATACCACACCACAGTGGAGTATAAATAAATACTTCAGATGTCCAAAATGTGAAAAAAATACAACCTGATGCACAGTCCAGTGACAACTCTTCTGTACTCCCAGCAAAAAGCTGTTGTGATGGTTTATCATTTCTGTGAAAACATTCAGTCACTGGAAAGATGAAAACGTTCTAAAAATATATTCTTTTCCCCCATAAAATCAAACAGAGTGATAACTGTATTGAAAGGTACAGAAGAGAGACTGGATCAACTCAAAAAAAGGGAAAAAAATAATCTTTTTTTTTTTTTTTGTTAAAATTAGGCTATTTTATTAAAAGGAACACAATATGGAATCAGAATAAAAGTGAAATTATTTTGCAGTTACTAAGGACGCCCTCAGAATAATTGCAAATTTAATAGAAACTGTAATGCTGCATTCTGTGAAATTACTTGAAAACATGGATCGGCAGATGACAGGAGCTCACTGAGCCTCCGGCCCATCTGAGCCGGATTTGCAGTTCACTTTGGTGGACTGTGATTTAGAGAGCAAAATAACTGCTCTGGTTGACATTGAGTCCCTACTGATCAGTTTTACGAACTGCATAAAAACGTCAGTGTAAATGTTGATGTGCAACACAGCCTGCCTTTATAAGACCCTGTGCAACAGGAACCCACTTGGTTCCTGGCCTGGTTTTCTGTGCGTGTCTGTGTGCTTTCTCAATAACTTTTTTACTTATCATAATATTAGCTTTTTGTCACCTAGGCTGAATGTGTACATTTAGTTTCTAAGGCAACTCCACCTGAGCTCAGCGGGGGCCTTCTTCACTCCCCACTAGCTGGGCTACACATCCAGTGCAGTCCATGTGAACGTACAAAAGCAAACATTTCTTGTAAGCCACATTTATTGTGTCTGACAATTTGCACCGTGCTTCAGCTTTCTACAACACTTCCTGTAGTATCATTGCACCAACTTTACTCACAGTAAATTAGGCCTAAAAGAAAGCATGGCATTTGCTCTTACTCCTGCTGCAAGCAAGATGCTGCTTTTCTGGGTTTTTGTGTCTGTTTGGACTTCCCAGAGTTCCCACCACACTGTATTTCTGTGTCCTCCAGCAAAGCGTGAGCACTGAGAGCCAATCAGGTCAGCACAAGGCCTTGTGGGGTTGACTTGCACTGGGTCAACAGCAAGCTTAGGGCACAAAACAGAAACGTTCAGTGGGACTGGAACTAAAACCTATGTGAAAAAGGGAATATGCTTTGAAATAAAACCAAAGCAGCTGCATTAATTCTGAGATATTTGTCCTCAATTTGCTTTGTACTATACATGCACTTGAGACCAATGGAAAGATCGCCTTGCTGCGATGCCTACAAGAAACACAAAGGTGAATGTAATTATCTACAACTGCTTTATGATTTTTTTCCCCCTGCAAACTGAGGTGAAGCCAATGTAACTCAGTTTAGGAACAGATAACAGGGCAGCCCCAGTAAGTACCTAACAGGAACCACTCCTTTGGAGAAGAGCCTACCATGTACCATGGAGGCTGGGTCATCCTTCTGGGTGAGTATGATACAGACCAAGCCACCTCTATGAACAGAATGAACATGGATGTGCGTTACATATGCTCAATCTGATGTGTGCAGAGGCCATTTTCACAAGGCTACGCAGAGATGCTGCTTAACAGCTTGTTTACTACTAGCACCAAATCAGAATGAAGCCTTGTTATAGGGCAGGAAAGGGCAGTGATCTTAAGTATCTCCTCCATAGGACTGTTTGATAATTTTTCATTCCTAATTGTTTAAAATATATCACAAAATGCCTTCAGCAGTTAAGGATGCCCTACATATGCCTGCATGTGCAAGCACACACATATGTATATAGAAGATCATATGCACAATAAACAGAAATTTCAGAGAGGTAATACAATATTAACTGGACAAACAGCATTGTAATATTGATGCAAATCTCACATAGAAATCCAACACCCTTATCATATTGCAGAATCACCAACTCTGAAGTCTACAAATGAACATCACACAGAGTTAGAAGACATGGCTCTACGGCACGTTTACAACAAAAATCCCCAGAAGCAGCACTGCTCTTTCTAGCTCAGTGTAATTCCACTGATCTGCGTGTTGCTCTGATACAAAAATGGTGCAGCAGCTCAAACTCTCTGTATTTGAGAAGCGTTTCATGTTAAGTAGGTCATTCTGTTGAATGCACCTCTCGGTATCAGCACTTGTACACAATGTGCCTTTGCACCTCAAATAAGAGTGGGATTTCTTTATTTTAAAGTGTGACATTCATTTATTCGTTAACAAGTGCTTTTCCTCTAACCATCAATCTTGCTTTTTTTCAACAAGTGGAATACAGTAACAAGGAGAGCAATTTAGGCACTAATACCTCACCAAATTACATGTTGCTCCCTCCCACTGACCTCTTTGATGTTCGCTGGACCAAAATTCTCCTCCTAATATTTATGAATTTGTTTATACAGCTGAATAATTCAACCACTTAGGAAAAGACTCTGCTCCCCACTGACTCATGCATGGCTGCTAATAGTAACCCAGCTGAGAAAGAGCAGATCACAAAGCTCAACACTAGCAGGAGAGGCTGAGACCACAGAGAAAGGTTAAACACGTTCCTGATCAATGAATACATTTCCACATCTAACCTGAAGCAGCTGCAAAAACTGTTCCATGTTTATAATGAAAAACACTTATCTGTGTTGTAATGCATTATTTCAATTTTACCTTCCTTAGGTAGAAAATACACTTCAAAGAGGTTGTTTTTTTTTTTTTTTTTTTCCTGCTGAATGGATACTGTAAAGGGAAAAAGAATACTTAATATGTGCTGCCATGCAGCTAAATGTCTGCAACTGACTCATTCTTTCATAGCTCTTTTACTTAGCTCAATTCTTACTGATTTCTAAACCATGCAGATTTTACTTCTCAGTTTCTACAGCAGTGCTCACGGTACAGACACAGGTTTGCTCAGCAGTTCAAGAGCTCAGCTGAAGCTATTTTAAAAACACAGAACTTCTCCCTTCTTTTTTTGCTGCACAAGGAAAGTTTTACACTCTGTTAAAGTTCAACTGGTGCAGTTTTTCAATTTGCCGCCTCTATAATACCTGATAAAAATTTTATTTTTATAATTAATAGAGAATTATAGCAGTCAGTGTGACTTATATTTGAATAAGCTTTAAACAGATACTTTTATATTCACATTTATATTTATATATATAAATATTCACAATATTTATATTGCATGACTAAGTCTTGTTCGATCCTGCAAAGAGGCCAAACTGGATCTGAAGGATTTCCATCACCCCAGAGAGAGAAAATACTGTGTATGATCAAATACACACACTAGTATCTCTGCTTGCTTGCCTGAGTTCACCCAGCTGAAGCCTAATAGCATTCTAAGAACACTGTGATGGAGTGTAAAATTTGCTTGTGACTTCTCATCACCCAGGGCTACAATGCTTGTAAAATTAATGCATTCTTTCCTAGAGCTAAGTCTTGCTTAAGTGCAATCAGCTATTGTTATGTTGTTCATAAAAATACAAATCCATCACATCAACAGAAGTCAGGAGTGTTTCCACTAAATTAAATATTTTGTTTCTGTTAAATCTCTACCTTTTATCTTAAAAACTGACAGGCTATTTCATGGAATCACAATTGGGCATTTGAAAAGATGACAGTGAAACGCCTGGTTTAATTGTGTAAAGTAATCCTTTTTCTGATCTAAACTGCAAGCTATAAGTGTTCCTGACAGTGCTGTGTCCCTCTGTATTTAATACTACATCAAAATGACTAACATATTGCAAGGATTAATTTCCTTTCTCTTGGCACATGATAAAAAAGCTTAAGTTTTATTGCAGCAATGTAATAACTTTCAGTGGTTACGCAGTTATGCTCTGTAATACTGTTCACATGTCAAGCCTAACATTTTGGTATTTTTGTAACTGAAATTAATGCTTCCCAGGTTCCTACCTGAAGCTGCAAGAGAGATGCAGCCACAAGCAGACCCTTGCTGGCAGGGGTAATTGTACCAGCCACTGCCACCAGCACCACAGCTCTGAGGAGGTGTGAGTCCGCTACAACACCATGCAGGATGTGCTGGCAATTCAGGGTCTGTCACAACACCCAGCCCCAGGAACAGGTGCTTCTGTATCACGGCCTCTCAGCAAGGCCCCTGCTTCTGTTTGGATCTTTAGAAGCTTTTTGCATAGCTTAGCAACTATATTGATAAGCCATAAGCACTGAGACTCAAAAAACAGAATGCGAACAAGTATTAGACTTCTGCTTGTTGATTTATCACTTACACCAATCACACTGCCATGTCTCCCACAAAGTGCTGTTTGGGCTGCACAACATCACATACAGACTCAGAATTGCTGGACTTTATAAAACTGAATGTTAATACCTACCTCACAAGTGCAGGTTATCCTTCTAGGATGGGGAGCTTCCTGCTGCAACTGATACACTGAGAGAAGGCAGAAGTTACATTCTGGTTAATACCAAATCACTGTACCTGTTAGGCTTTTTCATCTATATTTTCTGTTTAATAGACAACTTACTGCAAGATTTAATATGAATACACAGGTATCAAGATCTCAAAATCGCTTACAAGATGTCAGAAAAGAGCATATTCCTAGCCAAACCAAGATTATTGATTATTTTTACAATTAGTTGCTCAAGCACTAGGGAGTCTCTGGCCAAGCAGATCAAAGAAGGAATTAGGATAAATGCAAATTAAAGTTTGTTATATGTGAAATCAGGCAGCTATCACACTTTTTGCAATGAGTGAACCCTTGTTGGATCACCAGAAATTCGGTGACAGACTACAGGAGTCATTCAGAACTCTGCAGAATCAAATCCGATGCTTTTGCCACTACTCAGTGGCGACCTTTCTGAACAAGGGAAAAAATGGCCTTTGCATTTGTCAGTCTAAAGACAGCAGGAGTCAGATAGCAGGGTAAAGCAGTTAAGGCCTACGGTATGACATATACTTACTAGTATCTTCCAAACCTCTTTTGTTTTTATTTTTAATATGAGACTCACTAAGCCAATTAAATCGTATGAGCCAGTGGCAACTTCATAGTTTTATACCAGCTGAGCAACTGTCAATTTCTATCATGAAACCAGTTTGGTTTGGTAAGTCACCTGGAAAACAAGGCTGTCAACACCAAATTATTACCTGAATAGGACCAGATTCAATAAAATGGGATTTGGAATTGTAATGTTTTCAAACTAAATTATCTTTCAATCATTAGTGCTAACACCAAGGGCTGACGTGTGCTGTCACTTTCTTCAGATAATAAAACCATACATTACTTTATACAGTAAGATTTCAGGTCGTTACTCTTCTTATTTCATGATGAGGCTTTTCCGATGACAAATAGTGTATTTATGTGCAAAATTACATGAGAATGGAAAAAAAGGCAAACTGCCCAATGATTTGGCAATCATAAAATCAACTGGAAAAACTGACTCCCTTTGTTCCAAACAAAAAAAGCTAATGTTTTCTTCCTGATGTTACTAAAAATCAATCCTAACCATTCTGTACCGGTATTACAAAAATGATTTATGCAACTGATGAAAACCAGCGCAGACACATACAAAATAGCAATCTTCATTGCAAGCATAGTGTGATCCTTTATTTGCCTACAGAGATCCTCTAGCTTCTATTTTAAAAGCCATTTCTGATGGCACTAATCCTTGTCTAGATCCAATTCTAAGAACCAGAGTAAGGTTCAAAAAGAAAAAAACCAACAAAAAAACATAAAGTGAATATGGGTGTCTGTGAATTTCAAAGAAGAGTACAGCAGAATCAACATATTTTGCAGAAATAGGCCAAAAGTTGTGAACTCTCTCCCTCTTTACTTCAAGCAGGTTTGAACAGGTTTTCTAGAAAGAAATTCCTTGTCCCAGAAGACAATACCTGTTCTCATCTTCCAGTCAGAAGCACAGCAGATAGACTAGTGAAGTTACAAAGCAAAATGTGCATTTTTTCTCTAATTGATGTATGCATTTCAAACTTGAACATCAGTTTCCCTGCTGCAATTATCGCTAGGGAAGTCAAACAAGCCATTCCACTTCATCCATCAGGAGAGAGAAATACAAGCAAAGCCCGTGACTGTGCACTTAATTCTGCTCTATGGGAAAGGTTTGCTGCGGTGAACCAAAACAGTGCAGGAGAAGGGGTGTACATACTCATCTGAGCCTCCTGGCAAGCTAGCAGCCAAGCTGTGGTATTAAGAAAGGTTGGACACTCCTATTCCTGACAGTGGCCTGCAAGGAGATGCCCAAACAGGCAGTGCTACTCAGGTTCATGGAAGATACAGAAGCTTTTGGTGCTTCTTAAATTTATACTCAGATGTTACAGTTAGAAAGATTAGCATGGTGGAATGGCAAAAGAGACAATGGCAAAGGAAAAGAATGCTCACCCACACCCAAAGATCTAGGCTTGCAGGGAAAAACTCCACAAAGGAGGGATCTCCAGAAAGAGATCCTTCTGCAGTGGCAATCAGCCCTTAAATCAGGTCTAGAAGAGATGCAGCCAGGCTCCACCTTCACCTGTGCTCCCAGGCCTGACCCAGACCTTTCCCCAGATGCTCAACCAGTAATTCAGGTCTTGACTTAACAGTTCCCATACACATAGATGAAAACAAAAATGAGTCTGTTTCCAAGGTACCTGACTGAAACTTTTTTAGCTCTGACTTGAAAAAAATAAAAAGCTGAGATACTTACAGTAAGATTTCCAAACAGGTGGTCGGTATTCATCAGTGTCTGAAAGAACAACAGCAGTTTTTAATATTGTGCTAGAAACGTTTTAACACTGAAAAAACATCACAGAAGCACTTGCAGTATGAAGATAAATACTGCACCTGGATTCTGTAACTATTTTTAGTAATGAAGTACAGAGCAGCCTGACAGAAGTTCATCCTCTTTACTTAGAATATATGGAAAGGTATTATCCTTAGCCACAAATAAAACCATTTACAAAAAGACAAACATGCAGATCAGGAGCCAAAACATCAGAGGGGACAGGTAATGCGTAGTGTTTTATTATGTTCGTAGAATCACTGAATGGTTTGGGTTGGGAGGGACCTTTAAGACCACCTAGAGGTCTCACCCTAACCTCCCTCCAGACCAGGTTGCTCAAACACCCATCCAGCCTAGCCTTGAATGCTTCCAGGGAGGGCACATCCACAACTCTGCTGGACAACCTGTTCCAGTGCCTCACACCCTCACAGTAAAGAACTTCTTCCTAATATACTTTAAGTTCCTCGTTAAACAGCAAGAGAAAGGTTTTCTAATCTCAGTTAATACCCTGAAAAATCGCCCCTCACCAAACTCACTCCTGTCATCACCTTCTTCCTCTTCTGGACAGCAATTAACGACTCCTAAAATAAAATCCAACACGGAAGTCCTTGTTTTGCAAAAAGAGAGACTTTTCCATCCTGTCTCTAAACCAGGTTAAGCGGAAGGAGGTATTTTCCATTCTCAGTGTACGCGGGGTTTTCAAACGCAATTCCCTTTATCGCTAAGGCAGCGTGTGGTCAAACAGCCACTGCCCAGAGCAAGGTGACCTTCAGAAGGCCCTGGAGATGTGCCGCCATGCCCTGGGGCCCCGACAACACACCCACAAACACAGAGATCCCCAGCTGCCCACCAGAGATGGAGGATCAGCAGCAACAGATGCAGCAGTGGTCACCCACTCCTACTCTGGTATTTTTAATTAGGGCAATGCGAATCGATTCATTCCAGAAGGATTGTAATGAGATCCTTTCGTGCTGCAAGGCCACGTGGAAAAAGGGCAAAACATGAAAGTGAAAATAATGGGTTTAGTCCCAGGAGAGGACTCTTATTCCCCTAGCTGCATTCCCTTCTGCTATAGCTTATTTCTGGCAGCATCGGCACCAGTTGCGTTGATAAATAAATAACGTCAGTGAAGGACAACACTCCATATTTGTAAAATATGAGCTGACTGTTATGAAAATACAAACATTTTGGCAGCCTAACCTGGACTTGCTCGCACTCAGGCCATGTAATTGCTAGGGTATGGAAAGCACGATCATAAAACCGAAAAGCAGCATTATTTGTGCCAAACAAAAAACCCCAAACCTTGTTAAAGTCAGACAAGAACAGCAGTAACTTTCATAAAACAAACATGTAACGTTCAAAAATTGAAAGGAATGATTTATGTTATGCAGCTGTGCACAAGTATTTTGTTAGAAAATCCCTCTGTAAGCTCTATTGCCTTACCAGTGTTAGAATACCCCCAGGCCATCCCACATGAAAAAACAAAAGGTCTTACTTATTGTGATTCAAAAATAAAAGTTATCTGATACAAATACTGTAGCAGCAAGAACAGTGCAGCACCAACAGTGAAGGAGAGGGTCTGTAGTGTTCCCTTCCATGTAAGGATGTTTTAGAACTAAAATCACTGTTACACAAAAACCAAGGAGTACATGCATTGGATTAGCTGTCAGCTTCCTGTTTTTAAAGACCAGTTGAGGTGGTCCCATCTACCAAGGGCTTAATTTTCAGACAGTACAGGCCTCTGTGTACGGCACCTCCAATTATGCGTCCAAAGAACCCAAAAAGCACTTTAAGGCATAATTAGTAAAACACAGATGCTGAACCCAAAATACATTTTCTCACTAACACTGCATCACCTTCCAGTTAACACAATGAACTCCACGCTAGCAGTTCTCAGATCTTTGTACAGCTCCCATCAGCATGGTATCTCAGCACTGCTAAGCATCTCCATAATAAAATCAAACCATTTTCTACCAGATATGCTATCCATGTACAGAAACTGCAGTTTTAAACTCAGCCTGGTGGAGCTGGCAGGTGCTAGAAGTTAAGAGCCTTCCTAACCTTTAGAAAAGAAAATGTTTGATAACTTCCCACTATCCCAAGCAATGAGACATCTTGAACTCTTCAGGAGTTCACTCTGATTGGAAGGATATGAGGTTCTGTTTTTATATGATTTATCAGAACTTCTTCCAATTCTATGCCTTGAATCCATACTGATCTTCAATCATTTTCCATCCTAGACTAGAAAAGAAACAGCTGACTGTTTAAAACCTGTACTTTCAAGCTCCTAAATAGACTTGTCATATTATCAATACATACTCTTATAGAAAGAAAAGAGTAAGAATATCTCAATCTGATTCTGATCTTAAACTGTGATTCTATGATAAATCACTTTAAATCTCAAAGCAAAGGAAAGTTATAAGGGTGAGGGGAAATAATGCTGCAGGACACATGAAAATTAATGCACAGTCCTCTACCCTGTAGATCAGTTCTTATTCTTGAACCCACAGCAAAACAAAACCAGCCTGCAAAGCGAGTACCTTATTGCAGACCTGTAATGCTGTGGTGTCTCTGGTTTGGGATCCCTGGCTGTTTCTGCTGTTCTGCCAGCACTCACCGTGCAGCAGACCCCTGCTGGGAAGAAATACCATGGTGGGACAGGAGCTCTCCCTTCTGCGCCCAGCCTGATCTCCCTGAAGCATGTAGGTTAATGAAAGAAAAAGGAAACTATGCAGACCTGTGCAAGAACTACTTGCAATTGAGAAATGAAAAGCACAGGATGACCGTCAGAAATCCATGCTTGCACCAGAAAAGGCTTTCTGCCAACAGAAATTCATGCAGCCATTGAGAAGTTCACATACAGACACAAGTACTGCGAGAGCATTTCAGATTTTTCCATAAATTTGACTAACTGTGACATTACAATGCAGCATTTCCCACCATTATTTTCTTCTTACTGGCTGCCATTTTGTCCATTAGATAAATCTACACAACTTTAGTACTTTCTGAGCGCACGTTTTAACTGCAGATATGAAAACTGTTACTATCGCCTCAAACTGTTTAGACTGCTTGTCTCTGTGTATTCCTTTTATAGAAAGAATAAAAATATTTACCTCTGCTTGAAATGGTTCCTTCTATCTCCCTACTGAAGACCAGCCAGCCCTAGGGTAGAGCAGCAACAGTGTAACCATGCATGGTAACCCTATCAAGTAATTTAGGGCTTGCTGCGAGGCTTGCTACAGAGAATTCAGTTTTGTTTTTCTTTCACTGTACGTCATCTCCTGCAGCATGGTGATCTGTAACCCTCATGGAAGAGATCAGTTTAATGCTGTCTGGAAGGAAATAACCAGCTATCTGCTGGCACAGCAGCTCTTGCCCCAGACCTGGGTTGTGTTTGGCAATATCCCTGTCAAACAGAGGTGAGGCCTCAAAAGGCAAACCTTGTGGAAGAGGCTGACTCCTCACCACATGCACAAAACCTCAATGTGATTAGAAGTAAATCTAATTTCATGTTTTCTGAACAGCCTAGGCCCAAGGAATGGTATGTCATAAATATAAAAAGATACAAGTATAAAACCTTCTTCTGTACGTTACAGTCTAGTAAGCACTAACATGTGTTTTAAGATACTAGATCATGCTTTATTTGGCAGCAGTGTGGGTCAAATTTTAACTGCTGGGGAGGTGGATGACAAGCAGCCATGGCCGTTTGCTGACCCTTTAAACAGACTCCTCCTTGTGCCCCTGAAAAAACTTCTAGAAAATTCCTCCTCAGCCTCAAAATGTTGCTTATTAGCACCTTCTATATGCCCAAAGGGTTTACTCGACTTACAGAAATAAAGCTGTGTAATTTATATTGTTGGTGAGATTCTCAAGCCACAAAAACGTCAGAGCTGAACAGAGAATGTCATTTCATCCCTGTTGTCAGAGTGCAAGTGCCAACAGTCTTTCAGAAACTAAAATCAAGGCATCACAAAATGCTTTAAGCAGTAAACGGGCCCTAGCTGTTTGGGCTTTTATGCACTCCAACCAAAATAAAACTCAAACAGCATCAAAGTAATTAAAGGATAAGTACAGCCACAGCCCTAGGCAGCAGCAGTAAACCCGATAGATGCAGCACCACAGCTTCACAGTAGATAGGAGATGCTGGACTCTGCCAATGCCAGCACTTGGCAGCACAAAGCATTTTGCAGAAGCCCTCATCTGTGTGCTGTGGCAGGAACAAAATATGCCATGGGTCCTTTGCCACTGCCAGATGAGACCAAAGCTTTCTCTACAAAGCCTATGTCCTTCTACTACCTGCGCTACTAGCAGTCAGTGAACAAAATGGGCTGTGGGCAGAGCCTTGGTGTGAACTGCAAGCCACACGACATGGTGATGGCTGCTGCGGTGGAGCAGCCAGCCCATGCAGCAGGCAATGGGCACCAAAGGATGCAAAGAGGTTTGCTTCAGCCCAAGCTCAGTGAGCAGTGGAGACAGCTGAGGTCTGCTAACCTGCCTCGCGTAAAACGCGCTCCTAACGAAGACTTCTTTAGCATGTAGCTCCTCCACGTGAACATGAAAAGAGAAATGACCAGGAACCTCAGGTACAGATGGCCTGCACCCAACTGGAACACACAAGGTTTCACAAGCCACAACAGAACACCACAGGGCCTGTCAGGGAACAGGATGATTCCTGCAGGGCAGCAGCTATTCTTGGCCTTTTCTCATTCTCTCCAGAACATATGATACGCTGTTTGACACTCGGCCACGATGACTGACACTTCTAGACTGCTATTGAGTCTTTGATGCTATTTTAATGTTATCCTTGGCAGGATTATTCCTTTGAATTCAGAAAAAAAAAAAGCTTTGAAAACTTTCAGATGCGTCACCGCTGTTCTTCAGGCAAGGCACCACTATGTACTGAAGGAGCTGCAGTGCAAACGCTCCCAAATAAATCACTGCTAGTTTCCTCCCTGTCCTCACGA